TTAAATATAAAAATATACATATTTCTTCAAATGTTACACATATTACCAACCCAAAAACTGTCGCAAATGTCTGGTCAACGTCAATTAAAAAAAAATAACGTGAAGAATACCCTTAGGCGATATCTTGCCGGAAAATAAAATTTTAAGCGTATGCCAGAGCGCCTATTGTAATATATCTTATTAAATCAATATTATCATTTTCGCACTTTTATTTGTTATTACTGCAAAGATATACTTATACCATAAACATACTTTACTACTAAATAGCTTCACTTTTGCTTAAAGATTCATATTTTTTTGCTTCTAAAAAGTTGAGTAAGTTGAGTGTTGAAGAATGTATATACTCTAATTACATGTTTAGGAATAATATTGGGTTGACGAAGAAGTCTTTTTGTCAATAGATGTCGTTTCCGCCGTATATTTCCAGTGCTACCAATCACATTGTGTCATACCATATAGTGTTGGAAAAGAGAAAGCTTTTAAGCTTCATATAACCAAAAAAAATTAAACTAGGAGAAGTTGGATAAAAGTTATAGTTGTTCAAAAATTAGTGAAATAAATGGAGAAATTCGCTATATGTATTTTGAAATTTTTGTATAAAAAGTTAAGAATGTCATGCTAGCACCGAAATTTGTGAAGTTTGCGGAGACGATGCTGTATCAGTACGTGTAGCACAACAATGGTTCGCTCGCTTCCATTCTGAAAGTTTTGAAATTTGGATTTACATTGATGAAAGTTTTAMACTGATGGAATAATGTCTTTTGCGAAAAAATTACAAAATTTAGTAGAAATACGAAAAGACTTTTTCGACTACCCAATATTTATGCTGCGAAGTCTTTTTAGCATAAAAAATGATATTGAAGACTGAGAAAGGATCATAAAAAATAAGAACTTAATTCAAATATACTTGTATTATTTATGTTAAATCAGAAAGTACACGAGTCTGAAAAGTTTTAGAAACTTCTAGCTTTTGTCATTAGCAATAGCAGGCAACATTGTAACCCAAAGAATGATGAAAACATTGCACTAAAAAATAATATAATTAATTTAAAATATGAAAACGATTTGAAAATTTCTTAGTTCAGATACGGTATAGAAAAGATAAAAAAGATATTTTTAATCCTAAATACCAGATTAAAAAGAAAAATATTTTATTCGAAATACCGGATTGAATAATAAAAATGTAGACCCGAAAACTGGATTAAAAAAAATTAATCCCCAATACCAGACTGAAAAATTAAATTAAATTTAATCATTTCTTAATTCAATTTTTTAATTCAAAAATAAAATTTSCAAGTTTTTACAGCGATTTTGAGATTAAAAGTTCAAATTTTAATAAAAAGAATCCCTGAGCCCAAATAAAAATAATTGATTACTAAACCTTTCACGTTTTTTGTAATATATTAGCAAATGATTGATCACACTTTTATATACATATAAATACCAAATTATTGGCGCAATTTTATTTTTATGATTTTTACGATCTAAGCAAATTCAGTATAAAAACAAACAAATAAAGAATATTTTATAGCTTTGTATGTGCATTTGTCAATGTAAAAGAGGACATCATACATATACACACAAACAATGAATAAAGGAGTGCTGCACTTATACATATGCATATGTACATACWGACAAGCGCACGTGAAGTACACCTGCACATAGCGCTATGTCTGTATATAGTATATACGTAGTTAAAATTGCATACAAAATTTCTTTAATTCTTTTTTTTTAATACAGAAGCTTTAAGCTTACATTCGTATATATGTACTTATCAATATACATAATTATATAATATTTAAGAAACTACTAATTTTACAATAAATACAAATTATTCGCTCGTTTATGTGTTTCTACAGTTATATAAAATTATAATTATAGTAATTATAATTATGTATATGTGTAATYAGCATGTGCTGCAACAAGTCACCACCCTATACATACATATATACATACAGCTACTTAATAGGTAAACAAGCACGCAACCATTGAAAAGCTTCACACACTGCAATCACATAACTATTAGGGCATAACTAACATTCGTACTTACATACCTACGTAGCTTTTTTGTATGTTCGTCTTCATGTGTCAATTGTCTTTCATTTTTGCACGTCTACTTGTTCTAATTATATATAAGTAACGGCTATTTACCGTCCCCCGCTAACCACCTTTCACTTTTGGGAACACTTATCCGTAACTAAGGCTCTATTGCAAACCATTTATGTATTTATCTACGCTTAGTTCAGTTGTGTCTTAAAATTACGATTTCTTAGGATAACTAATTGAAAATATGCTCATTTTATTATTTACAAAGTCGATTTTTTATATTTATAACTCGTTTTCTTCATATATTTTATAAACGACATTCATATCCATACAAACCAATGTCATATGTATGTATAATATTTACAACATATTTTCTCTCTGCTCCTTTATGCTTCTATGTATGTGTGTGCGATAACATATGCGTACGCATGCGCGTTTCGTTCGTTCGTTCATAATAAGTGTGGGCGTTACTACGAATGCTAAGTCTTATTCAAAAGGTATACATTAGTCCAACATTTAGTACCCGATCGATATTTGTAGGCCGTCGCTCTTATCACGTGTTTTCAATTGCAGACAAGTGAGTCTTACGTGCGATAATTCGAGTTCTGCTTTTAAAATATTCACTGTCTTACATGCATACACAGCTATCGATATACAAACATGTATGTATGAATGTATGTAGATAGAACAGCAAGCCATTAATATTTGATAAACTTACACCGACGTACATTCACACATACATGAATGAAGCCATATGTATATGCACCTGATTCCATACTGACATATTGTATTTAACTACTTGTTTGGGTGTGTGTATATCTAGAATTTTCATTTAATATTTGTCAATTAAACTTTATGTGCTTTTTGCAGCTTAAACGGAAGAGCACCACCTTTAGTATTTTCTACGGGTATTTCATTGTCCTTCGTTGATCTTCTTCAATTACCGTTGCAAATTTATCATCTTCGATCTTTCACATTGTTCATTACATTCACCGCCAACAACAACACGTACACCACTGCAGCCAGTTTGATTAGCTCAGCGCTGAGTCGTATTTGTATCGCGGCAGAACCAGTTTCTCCACATTTTCCTGCGTAGGAATAAGAATTATTAAGAGAATAATATATAAATAGTATTTTGAGTCAAACATACCGAAAACAGTTAGATTGGCCACCAAATGATGATCGGGTGGTTTTTGTGTGCCGCGATAACAAGCATCGCCGATAACCAGTTTGGCCGCTGTGCCTTCAGTTGGGCGATAACTCAGACATACACCATGTTTGGTGCCTTTATGTCGCGCGATAATATACACAGTGCTATTCTCAGACCACGATCCGTGACAAGAGTACTCTTTAAAGAAAACGAATATGAAATTGAAAGAGAAAATAGAAAAAACGTTAACTTTGACTGCACCAAAGAGGTATCATATGTACTGTCACAAGTGCAATTTTTATGGCATGAAGAAGCATCAAAAGATCTTAGAAGATTTATATTGTCTTAAATTTTCAAGTTGTTCCGATATACAGCGGAATACATCGAAAATGACGTCGGAATGAGTTTAAAAGGTCAGTAGGATAATCTTTGTTAAATTTGTTTTTGCATTTTTTAATGTAGAAACCCACTTTACCATTGGAAGGTTTCGAAAAAGGTCCAAAAATAATAATACCGCTCGACGTTCGGAGCGCTCGAAGTGCACAACTCAAACTTTAAACTCGTTTTTCTCAAAACACACCTTCTTCAACTGGCGGACATGATTCCGGTCGAACTACTCAACCGATTTGCTTAATTTTTAATGTTCCAAAAACGACTGACTATCATCCCTATATTTTTTATAATTTATTGACAATGTTAGGACAAAATTTATGTAAAAAAATTAAAACAAAAAAAGTCAATTACTTTTTTTATTTCTCAATATTCTAGTAGGGAYGATAACCATTCACTTWCTTTTTAAGGATAAATTGGGTTTTTGTGTTTCAGATGATCAAAATATGAGAAATCGTGCCCGCCAGTAAAAAAAACGCTTCTCATTCAYCCAGCGATTTCTCCAACAGATGTCATCAAAAAATTGCGAACAAGTACACGATATATGTTCCTCATGATATGTGAAAAAATTTCTATTGTAGAATAAAAATTTCTATGGAAAAAATTACAAAAAACAGGCCAGATTACCATACTGACCCCTTAAATATTTCTTTCCCAATAGTTTCTGAATTTTTTAACAAAGGTTAATAGTGTATGTTTTTCACAATAAAAAATTTTTCATTTTTTACATGAGGAAACAATTTTTGAAAAAAGGCTGTTTCTTACCTGAGGAAACCTATGTAACCCCTTAATATACCATTCAAGGTAAAGGGTATAAAAAAGATCTACTAAAGACGAAATTTCATTCTCACAGACATTTGAAACCACGAAATCACACATGTTTGCACAATCTCAAGTGTAACTAAATATAATATCAGAAATTATAAGCACTCACCTTCGTCACCATCTTCATTGCACATTGGTCGCACATCAATAATATCCGGTTCGGTGCAACCCACCCAGAGGCGTCGTTGCGCTTTGTAATTTGTTATGCAGCCAGGTGCATCGCGACGATTACGTTGCCGATCCAAATCAATTGCCTTTGTTGAATGTTCGAAATCCACTGCTTTTCGTGATGATGCTTCGTCTACAGCCACTGAACCATTTGGTCGTTGCAATTCGCTCTCCAGTATATTCATATGCTCCAAAGTGGTCGTAGTGTTAACGATACTGCCAGAATTATTGTTGATTGCTGTGGCAGTGGCGCGTCTATTTCGTCCCGGTTGGAGAGCACGCGCATTGGCATGCCACGCACCTTTGTCCACTTTATCAGCATCGCGGAAAGTAAGTGTGGCTTGTCTGAAATAAATACAAAAGGAATTTAATGTACATATTTATAAGGTAGCGACATATTTATATAACTTAATAAATATAACTTAATAATAATAATACATGCAATATAGAGAAGATCTGAGAACCAACCTTTTATTCGCATAACCGCCGCCATCAACTCCACTTGCCGTACCCGCTGCAACAACTAAATCGCTTTGGCTATGATGATGACCGTGAGTTAAATGAATTTTATTGTTGTGATTACGTTTGTGACGCGTAGTCAAGTAAGGCGGCCCAATAGCGCCACGCAAATTGAACAAACCCTCCATCGGACAAATTTGTGGATCCGGATTGCTAGCTGTAAATGCATATAACAATGAAAAATGAATACCAAAGATGTAATGTAGAATTTCTGTAGTGAATTAGTTGTATTACTTATTCTAATAAGAAAATATGAATAATTTTTCATTCTTTACCTAGCAACGTAATATATGGCATACGATTCACATCGAAATGATCCGGCGCACAAGCATCCTCAAGCCGTGATGCCTGTTTGCCTGTCTGAATTTCAATGACATGTGTATCGCGGCGATAAAACATCATGCACATAAAGCCCGATTGACTATAAAGGAAAACGTACATTATTTATTATTACCATTTATACTGTAATACAGTTAATATATATAAGACAACTGCGAAAATTTACTCACCATCCGGTTGTATAGTGCACCACAGCCATCATTTCAGTAGCGGTTTGCTTATTAATCTGCTCGCAGAGTGCTCGTGTCTCCATGAAACCATTTGGCTTAATAATATGTACAGAGCCATCACTAGTGGAGTGCAAGGAAAATAATAAATATTAAATTTTATATTGCAATAAATGCCGCAGCATAAACAAAAATTACATTTCAAAAAAAATCTACTTGAAATGTGCAAACGCGAAATATCTTGGAATTCAAAAACTTATTTTTACTAATTTTTATTTATAAATAAGGTATTAATTTTTTAATTTATTTTTCATCCCGTTATTTGGGAAAAGAATTTTGAAAATTGTTTCTAATTAAGAATTTTCATAATTACGAGAAAAATTACTTGTCTTTTAATTGCACTACTTGCAACCCTGAAAGCAAGTAATCAGAACTTAAACTTCTTTAAAATACCTTGAGCGCTTTTGCATTCTCGTACATATATTTTTGTTTAACTTCGATACTTACTTGGGGTGATAGTTGTAGACAGCGTTACCCATGAGAACATGCCAGTGTCGCGGTCCCTTGAACCAAGCCGGGAAGTCACAACGTTCCGTGATCGGTGGTTTTCTCAGCGACATTATGCGTGAACCAACCTAAAATCAAGAATAAAATGTTTCTTAAAAATTGTTCGAAAGTAAAATTTTCAACACGTTAAGTACCTCTGCACTATCCAGTCCATTGCAGGTAGCATCACCAGATTGTGCTAATTTGTATTCGGCATCTTTTGCACTCACAGTGCTAAGTCCACCTGAAATAAGGGAAATTTCGTCAAATATGCTTATTTGAGCAGCAAAACAAATCGATTTTATTCAATTTTATGCTGACTGCTCTATGAAAATGAAATAATTAAAAGGAAGCATAAAATTATTTAAAACTGACCAGTTAAGTATATGTCATGATACCTAGATCACTTAAAATCTCTAGAGAATTTAAATTATTTCAGAAATATCTAATGATAAAGCATATAAAAATTCGATTCCCCAGATCTTTTGGCAATATTTGAAACTACAAACTATTGGTCCTCTTTCTAATTGGTTGACACAAATTCTTTTCATCAGATTATGCGTTTCCCAAACATTATTTTTACTCTTTTTCTGCTTACCCTAAATTAATTTAGATATTATAATGAATTTATCCTGATTTCCAATCTCTATCACTTTCATTTTCTCACTCAAAAGTTGGCAAGAACTTTGAAGCTCAATTTTAAATTTTTCTCAAAGAACTAATAGCAGACCCCAAAATAACCCTTATTTACTAAAACTTACCCAATAGTGATGAAATTTTCTCATAGACGAAGCAGCGATAACGTTCTTCATTGGAAATTGCATGATGATGTGAAACCAAGCCGACAAGATAACGGGAGTTTCCATCCTTCCAGGTGGCCAAGCATGTTAGTTCTTCAACTATTGTAAAATATTAACGTATTAATTAAATAATTTTAAAAGAATAAAAATATATTTATTTATATATATATATAGGTATATAGTAGTATATGACTGGCAGCATAAACAAATTTCAAAAATTAAAAAACTATTTTATATACCTGTACTCTCTGTGCCTTGCACATCAGGACAAGCTTGGAAGCTGAGCAACAGCCGACTATCTTCAGTGCAACTTTCGATATTCGAAACAGGACTCTTACATTCACCGTGTCCACGATTATAAGTGAATACAAAGGGTCCTAAAAAATGCATTACAAATAACAAACATATGCGTTAGCTTAATATAGCAGATGTTTCTGAAAATATGTAGATCAAACTCACCCTTCAACGGACACTTGACCGGTTCGGCACTCTCGCGAAACAGCGAATACAGCAAAGCGTCACCGGGTATTTGATCGCAGAGATTCTGTAACGTTTCACGGCCCTTGCAAAAGTCTGGGGGACATAATTTTTGGAAGACCACAATAAAGTGTAGCGATTAATGCACATTTTTTCACAATATAACAAGCAGCATACAGATTTCATTATGCCAAACGGTGTTAGTAAAGAAGCACACACACACACTAAGTTATATATTGATAGTTGAGTTAGCAATAAGAGAAGTTAACTACATTGAAAATTTTAAAAACTATAATAGATAAATCAACAATAGTACTCATATTAAAAGGTGGTGTTTGTGTAGTTTTTTTTTTTTTTTTTGGGATCGAGCAAACGGCAAGCAATAAATTTATACGATTTTAACTATAGCACATGTAAGTATGTATGTATGAATAAACATATTAACGGAATAGTTTTGTTTGCTACCAAAATTTCACGGAAAATGTATTGCCAAGAAACAAAATAAATAAATGTGTGCATAAATAATTGAAATAAGAGTGAGTRGCATTTGCTCGCATCCCAAAGGAAACAACCATATTATTTTACTAGTTTTCTCTTAACATAAATGCTTATAAAACCAAATAGTAACAGCTTAAAGAATTAAAACAAAAAATAATAATAATTGTGCAAATYGTTGAAGTTTCATAAGTTTCACATAAATTTTCTCTTTGTGGAACATCGGAATATATGGTCGCATTTTTAGCGGAGCAATCGGATTTTGGAGCCAATTTTAAGTAGTAAAAACGACATAAGTTTATGCACTCATTTTTTAAAAGACTAAGACGTAGATTGATAGCGCTATTAAGGGGTTTACTTGTTTCAAAAAATCGAATATTTTTATCGCCTTATTAAATTCTACAACACCTCCAGAATATTGTCCTACCTTTTCAAGTTTATTGTAAAAGTGTCTGATAAAAAATTCAATTTTCAATTTTTTTTTTTTTTTAACTAAAACAAATTTCAGAATTTTTTTGTTAATAGTATATGTATGTTTATAACAATAAAAAAATTTAATATAAATTTAATTTTTTATATAAGAAAAAATTGTTCAAAAAAGGCTGGAAACTCGTGTAACCCCTATTAGCTGCCTTTGATTCGCCATTTATTTACTTGTTATGTTTGAGATCAGATTTCTTGTCGCAAAGTTTTTAYTCGATAGCAACAACAAGATAAACCAGTTGATTCAATACTAGTGAGTGCTTCCCTATTTAATTATGGCAGCGCTGTATTCGATTGTTTTGTATAATTGTATAATTAATTAAATTTGATATCTTTGTTGACTTTACATTTGAAAGACTGAAGCTTACTTGTACATATACATATATATTTAATTCAAATACATTAACTGACTTATACATACTATATTTATATAAAATTACTTTGAGAGACTTTTCTAAATTTCCACAATGAGAAGCTTTACGTAGTACTTCTAGTCGTTACGTCACCATTTATTACACAATAATAATAGTGTAGTTAAATAATGATATATAACGTAAATTAAACTAAAAAACAGAAAAAAAGTAAAAGCTAAAACTTCATTACACACAGTATATATGTATTTAGGTTTCTCTTTTCATTTCAGAATTTTAAAAGTTAGAATGATAAAATATCAGCAATCGAAAACATATTACACCCCATATTTTATTAAGTAAGTATTTTCATTAGCTTCGGTTTCCTCTTAATTAGTGTTGTACATTTGGACATTTTTTTCTTACCCTTAAAAATGAATAAGTCATACATACATATATGATATATACATATGTTAAACATTTAAAGAAATCTTACTCCACTTTTGCCAAAATGGCCACAAAACAAGTTTAGAATTCATATACGAGTATAAATTTTATGATCTCTTCACATGAGATGATATCAACAGAATTGTCTATTATAGATTRTAATATTATTAAAACATATTATATATTGGCAATAGAGTATTTTTTTATAAGAATAAGCGACATGGAACAAACATAATTCAAATATCAGTATTAAAAGTTATTATTAAGATATTATAGATCAGCARAAAATGTCCATTTAAACACAGCCAACATTGAGTCAGAAAAAGACAGAAGGAAGCCTGGTTTTTACCATTAATAGAAGTTTTGAACAGCAGATTCTCATATTCTGATAATACCTTTAACTGTGTGTATGAATACTTAGCCTCTACAGAATACTAATATTATTTATGAAAAAATTAATAATTAAGCTAAAAATATTGACAAAGTAAAAGAAATAATCAAAACACTCTTAGTAGTTTTCTTTTTGTGTATCACAAAGGGTCCTCTCTGTAATTTTTATAATTTTTTAACGTACCATTACTAAATGATGACGTGTGCTCATGTTGACTGAGCACTTAAATACTCATAAATTAATAATAAAAAGGTAAAGTAGTTCGAATTGCTAATAGGTAATTGCATTCACTGATAGTGTATATATTTGTTGGTAATTTTTTTGAGTGTTTGTATTTACATACATATACATGGAAAAGCACAACACCAAAGTTCTAACTACAAATTTTGAAATTTTGAAAAAAAATTAAATTTAAGCATGAAAAATGTTCAGTTGTAAATATATAGATACACACATATAAACAAGAAAAAACGTTAACTTCGGCTGCACCGAAGCTAATATACCCTTCACAGGAGCATTTCTTTTAATAACCATGTGTTCAGTTTGTATAGAAACTATATGCTAGAGGAGTCCGATCTGAACAATTTTTTCGGAGATTATATTATTACCTTAAGCAGTAATCCATGTCAAATTTCGTGAAGATACCACATCAAAGGTGAAACTTTTCCATACAAGCATTTTATTCCGATCATTCAGTTTGTATGGCAGCTATATGTTATAATGATCCGATATCGCCATTACCGACAAATGAGCTGTTTCTTGAAGAGAAAATAACGTTTGCAAAATTTCAAAACGATACCTTAAAATCTCAGGGACTAGTTCGTATATATACAGACAGACGGACATAGCCAAATCCACTCAACTCAACATATTAGACATTTATATATATACTTTATAGGATCTCCGAAGCTTCTTTCTCGGTGTTACAAATTTCGKGACATACTTAATATACCCTGTTCAGGGTATAAAAGCGAGCGAGCATTTTTGTTTTTGATTTCAAAACTTCTCGTTGCTATCCACAGTTGTTCATTAATGTGTGAAATGAAGTCACAATTTTGTTGATATTTGAAATGTATTCAATTATGTTTACATATCTTTTTATTAAAGATTTCATATTAAATGTGGACATATGTATGTATGTAAGTATCGATTAATATTTATTAATTAATATGATTTATTTTCTGAGTAAAATTAAAACGCAGTTTTAAAACAAGTCTTTTACGAAGAATTGAGTTTAATTTCTTTCATATCGCATATATCTATTTTCGAAAGGGATATAACTTAATTTCTCAATATTTTAGTTAAAATTGGGTTATATTACACGATGAAGCTTAGATAGCTTCAATTCAATTCATATATTGGATGCTGCAGCATTGAGACCTGATTATGTAGTTCGAGTTGAGAACTGGCATTTTGCTCAAATATTATATACTTTAAATCATTTAGGGAATTAGAGCTTTCTCAATAAAAATGTCTCTTTATATTCTGAACAGAAGTTTGCCATGACAGTTTATAATTCACAGAAAGAAACGTAAAAGACTTTATTTGAACATGTGTATGAATAAAATTTGAATTAGTGAATCGAATTCAATAAAATACTCAATTTCAAATTTCTTGGCCATACCACCGCTAACGTTTTCTTTTAACACAAGCCCCCGATGGATGCTACAAGAAATGCACCTTTGAAATTTATTAACGCTTTGGAACACACAATGACAACGGTCTTATTTTGTATGGCAATAATAATTAACAAAATACCCRCTATTTTCATCTTGAGCTCCGAATGTCTCTTACGACTAATACTCGTCGTACACTTTATAGTTGAAATATAAACCATTACCAATATTTTTCTTGATTTATTATTTCATATTAAAACATTACTATAATTAAGTTGATAGAAAATAGAAAAACGCATGTACTCACATACATACAAAAACATAATAATTTACTTCAGCAGCAAAAGCATTTTCATGTATAACACCGTTAGGCAAACTTGCACTTTTTGCACYTTTTGGAAAACGGATAATGGCCAACGAAATTTTAAAGCAAATAAATAATGTGAAATAAAGTTTTATAAACAGGAGTTATATGTTTGTATGTACATAATTACGGATGTTAACACAAAAACGCCGTTAAGATAACCTATAAATTTTATGTGGCTTATGTGCATGATTGCGTTGACATAAAAAATTCAATAATTGCATAAAGCAGAATTTTTAGGTAAAAATTGCGTTTTAGCGCATTTTATGCAACTCCACAGTAGGAATGATACTGGTAATACAAAAAAAAATATATGTACATATAAAAAAAATATTTTTTATGCATTGCTTAATGAATTTTTCTTGTCAACGTAAACAATGCACTTCTTATAAATAGATATGCTTGTTTTTTGTATGTAAGTATATGTAGGTGTATGTATGCCCYGCAGCGGGTTAAAGCAAAACACTGTATAAGTTAGCTGTTTTGCCATTTTTTTGCTGAGCCATGAGCAAACATAGAACAACATGGAAACTCTTTTAAATTACAGCTAATTTACAACAACAATTTCGTACTATTTTTTTGATACAATGAAACAAATTATAATTTATTATAAAAACGCTTTTAGGCATAGACATACACACATACAATTAATTAAAAACAAACGGATGTAATTAAACATATGCATTTAGCTAAACCGTACCATGCATACATACATAAATATGTATATGGTATTATGGAGAAATATTAAGGCGCTATGGTTTTCAAAATAAGTTTTGTTGTAGTTAAGATTAAAAAAAGTGTAGGCTAAAAGTGTTAACTATACTTATAGAAAATTGCATGTAACATATCCATTTATATATGTACATATACTTTGTATGTTAAGTATATAAATACATATACATTCATATATGTATGTATGCATGTATGTATATACGTTTAAACCACATTCAAATTACATA